ATTGTGTCTATGTCTCGGCCTTTTAAGTATCCTGGCCCAAAGCATGTTCAATTATTTCCGGCCCTAGTGTTTTCCTGCTAAGCCGAAGGTAAAGTTGCCTAAGTTAAGCCCACATCCCTAAATATTAAGAGAGGCCCGTAGTGCTTGAATTCATTTTAATCAAAACCCAACCAGTTGGGCCTAATTCATTCCTTTCAGCCCAAAGAGTTTCTTAAGCAGCAGCCCGTTCCTCATCATCTCCAAGCTCACAATTTTCCAATATTGTCAAAACCGGACCGGATCGGCCGGTTCGACCGATCCAACTGAAACCGGACAATGCACCGGGTTGGTTTGAGACATAGAACTGCTGGGCCCAAAACCGGTCAAAAACCGCTTGAACCGGTCAAAAACCACTAAAACCGTTAAACCAGAAGCAGTTAATGCGGCCCACCGGTCCAATTGTTATCTTGTGTGGAAGAGGTTGTGCAACATTTTTGGTTTCTTTATCCGATGTGGGAGTAGCACACAGCAAATATTGACTTGCCTATCCACTAGCGGACCAACTTCCTTATTTATTTTTACTTTTGCCCAATTTACTTGTTGATTTGTGTCTGGGTTGAAATGATTACAAAAGCCATTGTCTTATTTGGACTACATAATTCTAGAAAAAATTTTACACAACCTATTTTCTATCCGCTAGTGGGCCAGCTAATGGCTTTACTATCTATTATTATACATTATATTTATACAATCTATTTTTATTTATAATTTATTTAGTCAAATATTATTATAAGCTATAAATTAATGATAAATATATATATAATAATACATTATTCATATAAAATAAATAAAAAATTATATATTAATTAAACCGATTCGACCAGTTCGACCACTGGTCCGACCAGTGAACCATTGAATCGGTAATTTTACCGGTTCGATGACCTGTCCGGTTTTGACCACCTTGCAATTTTCAGTCGCCGCTAGTTTCCTTAAAGCCCTAACTGAAATCCCCGTTTTCCGGCTAACCCACCTACGGCACCTCTCCAAGGTGCAACCCTAAAGCCTGACCTATATAACACCAAGTACACCCGCAGCTTCCACATTTTCTCCCCTCCGCTCCATTGTGGCAATTTCGCCCAAATTCCGGCGAGAGGACGAACGGAGAGCTTTGACCTCCGACGTCAAGCCGTGATCCGACCTCTGACCTCCGACCTCCAGTCCGACCGAGCCTCGATCTCTTCGAACTCAGAACTCCGGCCACCCGTTGAACGCGGCGAGCAGAGAACCACTAGTTGACATCGAGTCGCGATTCGACCTCCGACCTCCAGGCGTGTCGATGAACCCGACCGAGCCACGTCCTATTTCCGGCGAGCCATTTTCAGCAGTCCAAGCAGCAAAGTCCAGCGAGAGCAGCAGACCTGGCCCGACGACCGAGTTCCGATTTTCTGGCGAGCATCTTCTGTCTGCGGCTGAAACATCACTCCGAATGCGAGCTGATAACCACCACCGGCAGAGAGACCGAGAAACGCATCCAAGGCCCTTGTGCCACCTGAAAACCAGCCGCAGCAAGCCCTGCCATCTCCGTGAGCTCAGCCATAGCCGAGGAGAACCCCGACAGACCCGCACTGGTTTAGCCGTCACCGAAAATCCTTTCTTCCCTTTTCACCGAGAAAGGTACAACCTTTTAGCTGAGCCATGTCACCTTTGTGTTCAGCTGAGTTGATGTGATATACTATGCTTTATTTTCAGCTTTGAGAAAGTTATATAGCATGCTTGTTGTTTGTGAAATTTTGGTAAATTTTAGAAGTTTGAAGTTGTAGTTTGACGTGCTCTGATTTTGCCTAGTGTGGCTGAGCCATTTGAATGCCATTTTTATGCTTAGATTTCAAATTTAGTTTAAGTTATTTAAAGCCTTCTTGAGCTTTAGATTTGTTGAGAAAAGAGAATGCATATATGTTGTGTTAAGCCTTGTTGAAGTCCTGTTCGATTTTGACTGAGGCTATTGGGCATGTCTTCTTAAGGTGTTGTCATGTGATGAATGAAGGCAGAATTTTGATGTTTAAATTTAACTTTTGGAGTTTAGAAAGCATGCTTAGATTATAAAATGATGTAAAGGACTTTCAGTCATATTATGGAACTTATTTTGGTTAAGACTTTAACCTCTGTTTTTAGGGTGATTAAATGCTGAAAATGTGAAGTTCCATCAGGTTTATTTTCAGTCAAGAATCAACTTTGAGGCATATGTTAGTTATTCAAGAAAAAGAGCTTAAGTGTGTGTTATTGTTGCCTTGCTTGTCGTGTAATCTTGAGGTTGTTGTCATCTGTTCTTGTTGTGCTAATTTTGTGAATTTCAGAGTTAAGGTTCCATACTTAAAGCCTTAGTATTGTTGCTGTGAGTTTAAGGAAATAAGAGAGCCTTAGACCTGGTTTATGCTGCCTTTTTCGAGCCTAAGTATGAATGCCTGACAACCCACACTAACACACACTGGAGGTGTGTCAGAGACGGTCGTGCGGTGTGGACCAATCAGGTCGTGCCACGTGTCCTCCTCACGTGGGGTTTAGATTCCTCTAAAATCTCCTCGAAGGCTTGAATGCTTGACAAGATGTAGGTCAATCCGCTGACTACTCCGAGTCCAAGAAATGGTCGATTGGACGAACATTTGTGCCACAGGTTGATCTTTGACCAGACCCTCCAAGGGTCTGGGATCGACCTACTCTCCACGCACCGGGATCTCTTCTAAGCTATCTTTCACTCCAGAGGCTCTAATTCTTGTGATGCTCGACCACGATCACCCTGCTCGGATCCTGTTCGACCAAAATTGCTTGTTCGATTTGTTTGACCGGCTTACTAGGTCGGTTTACTCCTTTAGGGGTAGTATCCCATATTAAAGCGGGACTTGGCTATAAATTTCCTACGTTTGTGCACCCATCGAGGAAAAATGTGAGTCGGTCTCAAAATCCACGCCTAAGGTTTCTAAAAAGACTAAACAACGAAGGCGTCGTTATGTTTGCATTATTGTCATGCACTCGGGTACATTAGATCTTATTGTTATAAATTGCATTCATTTGATAGGTCATTTGAACAAGTGGTACCCCCCCGTGTCCCGTGATATGCCCATGAACCATTGAACTAGAACTAAAAATAAATCAAAGTTTGTTTGGGTTCTGAAATCGGATTTGAAATGCAATGTAATTCATCCTTGAAGTCCAACATTGTAGGATCTTGCTATTTTAATAGTAGGTGCTCGCGTCACATGACCGACACTCTTGAGTTCTTGTCTAATGTAGAACCTTATGAAGGTGGGCGTGTTACATACGGGGGAGGTGAACATGGAAAGATTATCGGACGTGGAACACTCAATGTTGATGGCCTCCCAAAGCTTCAGAACATGTTGTTGGTTGATGGACTTAAGGCTAACTTGATTAGCATAAGTCAACTTTGCGATGATAATCTCCATGTTAAATTTGATCGTAAGTCTTGTGAAGTTCTTGATGAGACTAACTCGTGTATTTTGACAGGTGTACAAACTACCTGAAATTGTTATCGAGGTTGAGGATGACGTTCGGGACGTGTTGGACCTTCCACTACGTAGTGCCTGGTGTCGTCCCAAATATCACCCCAGATGTCACGACACCAGACACGATACTAGAAACAGCACCTGAAGCGACATGTATCTTCGACAATGAGAATGCCACTTCCGAAGCTGAGACACGATCTGATGTGGATGTTACTGATAGAGGAATGATAGAGGAAGAGTAGTTCATATATCACATCCCTTGTCACGATATTGGTGAGGTAACAAATGGTAGATTGTTTTATCCCATGGTAAGAAAAATGTGGTGCTTTCAATAGTGTAAATGATAACTTTTTTAAGAGCATGCTTGTGAATAACATGGTTTCTGTGCATGGTATGAAATAAAAATTTTCTTGTTGTCGACTTTTCCGGATAAATCAAATGATTGGAGATTATGGTGGACATAGTGATATCTTAACCATATATTGTGATAACAAGAGTGTTACTGATATTTCAAAAAAACCCGGTTAAACATTCATGCACAAAATACATAGATATAAGACATCACTTTATTCGGGATTTGATTGAGAAAAACATATTTTGCATTGACTACATAGGAATCAAGAATCAGTTAACCGATATATTCACCAAGACATTAGATTATGAGAGGTTTTCTAACTTAAGAAAATCTCTCGGTTTTTACATTGTTTGAATTAGAATAGGAATCGTGTTCAACATTCACATTGTATCATCGTTGTAACATGAGTTTTGCATACGTGCATTTTTTTTTTTTAATTCTTTTTCATTCATAATTGCACTATTATTGCATAAACGATATATTTGTTGGAGGCATGAAGTTGTAATGGTGCATTCTTTCGCTTGATAAATGGATTATTGGTCGTATCTTAAAAAAAAGTTGCATGTTGGAGACTGTGAAGTGAAAGAACTACCTACTCCATAAGAGTGCAGCTAATCCTGTGACCAATTTATTCGATAATTAAAACTATGTTAAAAGAAGAGGAATGATCAAGTAGAAAGAAGGCCACCTTTGATTTAGTGTGAAAGCTAACCATGGTCATTATTCATAAGTATTAAAAAAATAATAAAAAAACTAAGAAATTAAAAATACCGAAGTGCAATTTTTAATCTATGTAAAAGTGTTAAATTTGTCATTATTTCTTTTGTGCTAACTTGATTATACCATTCACGTTTTTCTTTTTTTATTATTTTTTTAGGCATAATTAGGACATGCATACTTGGTGAATGTTAAAGCTATGATCTTGTTTCTTTGTGCGATAGTGTGAATTATGGAGCTATCTTCTATGTCTTCGAATCAGTAGTACTTTCTGTGGAGTGAGTTCGCGAGTTTGGAAAATTTGGGTGACTATGAGATTGACGTGCATTATGATTTTGAAGTCTATATTTACGGCTTTGATATTAATGTGTTAATATAATTCCTATTGATTTTGGTTTGTTCGTAATGAGTCTCTGTGTGTCTACATCTTTTTATTCCTGCCTTTACCCTTTTTTTCCTGTCAAATTGTTCTTGCTTATTGTTGTGCTTTATATTAAGCTTTGCCCACGCTTATAAAAATAT